TAAAGTTGAGGTCAAAGCTTACTATAATACTCAAATGCTTCAAAAAGCTCTTTTTGTTTCTCATACGTATATGTTACGTGCTGCAGCATCTCTTTTCACCCTCAGTCTGAAACCAGAGCCCAGTTTGCTCCGATTGGTTAGCTGGCTGGCTCTGTTGTGATTGGTCAACATTCAATAGATTTCCCTCCCATACATGATGATGTCTCTGTGTTACAGAAGTAAACAAAGGAGTCTAATCGAGGCATTTGTTATTATTATACTAATAACATGTATGGTGTATCAAAGCCTGATATATGGTTTTATATAGAGCCAATGAAACTATATCATTCAGTTTTCAGGAACCAATAGTCCAGTGGTTCTCAAACTTTTTCTGTCAGGCCCCCCCTTTGAAGAAAAAAAATAGTCGGGCCCCCCCAACACAAATAGTCACGTAATGGGCCAAGATAACATTTATTAAAATACATCAATATGAACGTGAGCATTCCTTTAAAAAAAATCACTTTGCTAGAACAGTGATAATAAAACAATGCTCCATAAGTCTGTGTGCTCAAAAAATAAATACAATTGTGCAATCCCTTTGCTATAACAATAAGTTATAATACTTTGCCACTTTGTAATCTGTGCAAAAAAATGAAAAGAAAGAAAATGCTGATATTTGGCAGAAAAGTGTGTCTTATCATAGGTGGCTGCAATGAGCCTGTTTTGCACTGCACATTTCTTCAAAACGGCGTTGCAGGCTCAATGCCGGCGCCAGAGATTTTCTTTTGGGGGTGCTGTGGGGTAGCTTGACGTTTCATAGAGGGTGCTCAAACATTTAGGGTTTCCAATTAAAATCTCCCTCCGGAAAGATTTTAAAAAAATATTGAAGTTAAATGCATCAATCTGGTGCATTTTGAGAGCAAAATGAAGAGATCTATGGATACATCTCTCAACACCCATATGAAACAGAACTGTAAGCAGATTTTCTTTGTCTTTTTGGATATTTTACAAATCACTCAATCATACATGTTTTTCATTTATTCCTATAATGATCATATAAACGTGTGCCTTGGAAATAATTGTTTACATCAACCGTGACCATACCGTTTGAGACCCACTGAGATAACTTAGACTAAAGTTAGGACTCTCCTCCACCTTGTTGTTGAAAAAGCTCCTTATACCCGTTAGCGTAGCTCGCTAGCACCAGAAGCTAACAACAACGATCTGCGGTACCGGTGCGCTCTCTCTCTCTCGCGCATGCACACAAAATGGCTCGTTCCACACACACACAGAGCCGAGCTTGAATGAAACACAGAGACCCAGACATACTTGTACTGTACTGTAGCATATTATTTTCGAATCAATAATTTTTTTATTTTTTTGTCATAACAATTTTTCCTCCTGGTCTCTTGCGCCCCCCCTGTCATGCCTCTGCGCCCCCCACTTTGAGAAACACTGCAATAGTCTATAGCAGCGGTTTTCAAAGTGTGAGGCGCGCCTCCCCTGGGGGGCGCCAGAGAGCTTCAGGGGAGGCACAGCATGAGACAAAAAATAACGAGAAAAAGATGAGTTAAGTGACACTTGCCTACTTTTGGCTGTCTGTGGAGACCGAGTTCCCCCACCTCGCCAAAAAGGCTGTAAAAGTGCTCATTCCCTTCACCTCCACCTACCTGTGTGAGTGCGGGTTTTCCGCATTGACTTTGATCAAAAGCAAGTGCCGGTCAAGGCTGCAGCCAGAGTATGATCTGCGTTTATTCTCATTGTTCCCACTAAAGTAGGGGTGAGTGTAATAAGGAGGCAAAGTTGACGTTCAGTGTGTTGCCGGGAGCATATAAGGATGTATCCACGATGTTGAAAATGTTAAAAATGTTAAAAAAATATGTGTTGAGAACACGGTGTGCGAAAATATACGGGTCGTGCTGCAGCTAGATTTGCCTGTCCTCTGTAAAGGCCCCTACACACCAGGCCGATATCGGCCGTCTTGCGTTGTTTGGCGACAACGGGTTCCTTGTCGCCCAAAGTCAATTTGGTGTGTCCCGAACCCTCGGCCGTGACACGCCTTATTTGGCCTTTCACGGTCGACACCAGGCCGATTCAACATGTTAAATCGGCCGGGTGTCGGACACAAGCTATCGGGCCAAGAAACCACTCTGATCAGCTGTTCAGCTAGCAAATGAGAAGCGAAACGGAAGTGAGGGACGTAAACAAACAATTTAAGGCACAGGACAGCAGCTAAACCCCAGCAGGTGATACTTAAAGACATCAAACATAGCCCTTAAATGTCCTCTCTTACCTCCCACACATAGCAGGGACATCTCTGATATCGGCGGGAGCGTCCCCGGCTGTCCTCTGCTGAGAGCTCCGTGATTTGTTTGGTCAAGTCCGGTTTTTCATCTCATCGTAAATTTAGCAAGAAGTGGCCATTATTACATTGCTGACTCAATAAACTACACACCCGCCAGAACACTGCGATCATCAGATGCAGGTCTATTAACTGTGATTTTATAGTATGTCTGCACTTTATGTGCTCATTTCATCATGCATGTATTTTTATATTCTAAAACATGTTTTCGATGGACGAGAGTGAAAATGGAACGCACACGCTATTTGTTTGTTTATATCAGTCTGTTCTTCTTCTCTGTCTTCCAGTTGTTGCCTATTTTGAATGACGAATACACACTACCGCCGCCTGCTGGTAAGGAGAGTTATTGCCACTCACGCATGCGCAGTTCGTACGTGCTCGGCTGAAGTCTTTGCGGTGATTTCCAGTGCGACACACGGCCAAGACGCAGGAGAACTCGTCGATGGAACTGTCTGTGTCGGGTGTCGGCGAGTTCTCTGGTGACTGCCTGGTGTGTCAGGGCCATAAGAAGGTGTCGGCGATTGACATGTAAGGAAGAACGGCTGTCCACAGGCTGTTCCAACTTCAACAACTTTATTAACTTCCAGGGTAGTGAATTGAACATGCAATTGTAATTGGGTGTGTGGTATATTTTCATGCACGCACACGCATGTTCCACAACACACAAACTGAACAACACTCAATTGTCCGATCGCTACCGCTATCGCGGTATCCTTGCGATCTTGTTATAACAACAAAGTGCACGTTACTGATGCAATATGGTTGAGACCATTCGGGCTTATTCTAGAGGGGTGCAAGGAATAGTCCAAGTAGTGGGGGAGTTTTATACAATATGTTCAAAACATAAAGATAAAAAGGTTTTAAAAAGTTATTGTTTAATGTTTTAGGGAGGTGACGCTACTCAACCAATCAAATCAGTGCAGTCAGTGAGTCAGCACGATAGATTCAAACACACACACAGAGACGAGACAAGAAGAGAGAAACAGTCGGAGTCATTTCAAATGGCGGAAGGTAGACAGCGAAAACAGAGCATTTAATGACATGTTCTCTTACTGGACCTCTTTGAAATGCAATTGAATACCCCTGCATATAGCAACAACAACAATAATAATAATAGCAATAATAATTGGGAGGGGGGGCGTGGCTGTTTTTATTTTCTCTGAGGGGAGGCTCACCTTCCCACACTTTGAAAACCCCTGGTCTATAGCAACAAGCAACAGACAAAGTAGGAATATCAGAAAATAAGAAAGGACGGACTAACATTGTTGGTTTTTGAATTTTAATTAGATTTATTAGAAAAAATAAGACAAAATACAGCTGTCCACCTCAATTTAGAAAATCAAAATCATTATTTCAGATTTGTCCATGTAAAGGTTGAACAACATAAAACCTGAACATTAGACACCACACTTACAATTTCATATAACTTTCATTTTATTACACATGCGTTCATATTTGTTTAAAAGTGGCATCATTTACATCACACTTGAAAATGGTAGCACCGGTGGCAGACATATGGCACCAATGCAGCGGTTGTCTGTGTTGATGTTACAAATTGAATTGAAGGAGGACACCATTTCCATACAGTTCAGGATGTTATGATAAGTGGGATTTCATGTTTTTTCTTAAGTTTCTAGATAAAGATGACTCTATATGTATGGCACTTAATGACATGAAAACAAGAAACATTAAGAATGAAATACATCTTTTTTTTTTTTTTTACATATTTTCTTTTAGTTCAGGCACCACATTCCTGCTGCTAACGCAAAGGAGAGATCACTCAGGTTAAGGTCAATGGTCCGAGCACATGCATCCAAACCGATGAGATGAAGCTATCAGATCCAAAGATTGATTCTACTGCCAGATTGTGTGTTTGTAATAAGAACGTGATATTTGGAAATACTGGAATGTCATTCCTACTACATCTGAGCTGTTTATTTGAATTTTTTAGTGCAAAATATACTAATTCAAATGAGATACACTATGGCCAACATGATGTCTTTTTCAGTGTACTTTTGGTCTGAGATTCTCATAGTTTGTACAAAATCCCTTACTTCCAATCCAGGATTAGGATTGGGGTTAGGGTTAGTGACCTTGGGTCTCATGAAAGGCGCTATATAAATCCAAGCTATTATTATTATTATTAGTTTACCCAAACATTTTGCACAAGCAGTGGTTCACCGGTCTCAGGAAATTCTATTGAACCATTGCAAACAGCTGTATAATGACAGTGGCTTCAGAGGAGCTATTTCAAGTTTAAGACTCCAAATACAATTATTACTAATGTTAAGTTGTCCTCACACATTTGGCCGTACAGTGTATCAGTTTGTGCTTTCAAGAAACACTTTGCACCAAAATAAAATATATTTTTGTACTAGTGCCAAGTAAACAAATGTGCGGTCCATCTGAACCTCTCCATAAAAGACAAATCAAATCAATACCTGCTAAATACAACATGATGTCACCTAGATTATTGGTCCACATACAAATTCCAGTTAGGAGGATTCAGTCAAAAGCTCTCTTCAGTAATATGTCTTTCACTGAAAATCCTCAGCTTTCACTTGTTTCATTTGAAGACTAAATACTAATATGAATTATTGTTCTTGATTACTTGCTTCTACACAACTGTCCTGCAGCCTCCTCATGTTCCTGTGGGCAGTTACACATACGCAGAGTCACTGGACTGAGTGCGCCCGAAATTGGGCATACTCATCTTGGGCATGTCTTTGTTCCGGATCTCATAAACGGACTTCCTTCGGGCCTGCACCCCTCGCACAGCCGCTTTGATCTTCTTCCAGCCGAGGTGGTTGAGCTCTGCCAAGTTCAGAAGCACGCAAATACCACTGACTGCGAACATGAAGACCAGAAACACCGTCTTCTCCGTCGGCCTGGAAACGTAGCACTCTACATCTTTTATGCACGGGTACCGATCGCACTCGTACACCCCGGGGACATTGAATCCATACAGGAAGTACTGACCCACCAGAAACCCAATCTCTAGTCCATTTCTGAACACCACCTGGATGATGTAGAACCTGGAGATGCCCTCCTGCCGTCGCAGTTTTGACTTTGTAGTTCGTTTTTGTGAGCTGCATGGATATTCTTTGCTCATCATGGAGTTGGACTCTACCTCCTTACTGCAGTTGTCTGAGTTCTGCAAAATACCGTTCACGATGGTGTTCTTCATCTTTTTGCTGTCATCTCTCTTCAAGTAATCCATTTCTCTGTCCAGGGAGAGGAACACGGTGGAGAAGCGCCGCTCCTTCTGCTTGGCCGACTGGTGCACAGAGTAGGTGATGAAGCAGAGGCTGGGGCAGCACACTATGATGATCTGGAATACCCAGTACCTGATGTGGGAGATGGGGAATGCCTGGTCGTAGCAGGCCTGGTTGCAGCCCGGCTGTAAGGTGTTGCACACGAACATGGACTGCTCGTCGTTGTACACGGTCTCTCCAACAATCGCTACGATCAGAATCCGGAAGATCACCACAACAGTCAGCAGGATCCTGGGGGGAAAGCAGAAATATAATCACATTTACAGTAGCTGAGTTACTTAAAAACACTCTTTTTGTGTGCAAGCCTCAAGACCAGATAATAAAAAAATATTGCTATACTGGACCCCTTTTGCATACATCCATGATCCTGGTCTTTTTGGGTTAATCACAACATAAACATTTGTCTGAGTGATACTAAATCAAACTTATCTTATGATCAAATATGGTGCATACCAACGGTCAGTGGGTCAATGGTTCTATCCCCAGCATCTGCAATCAACATGTTAAAGTGTCCTTGGGAAAGACACCTACCAAACCAAATGATCCCCTTAGGCATGTCTATGGTATTCAAGTGTATGTCAGTCGCTTACTAGGCTTCACTAGACGGTAAATCGGTATGTTACTGGTCGCAATCAGACATAGCTTTGTTTCAAAGGGTAACAAGCTAGAAAGGTTAGAAACCACTGGACCAGACCATTTTATGTCACACATGTCAGACAGGCATTCAAACCAATGTAGTGGGAAGACGTTAGGTTGATCACAGGATAGCTTTACTGGCAGGCTGACTGACCAATAGGAAGCAGATGATAGCATTAGGGCTAATATTTCAGGTAGAGCTCTATTACTATGTAACTATGTATGCTTGCATAATAACAATGCCCAGACGGAAATATAAAATGGTGGACCTTAAAGCTTTGAAGCACTGTGTTCATTGAACTCTTTCTAAATTCTAAATGTATCAGTTTTCACAGACACATGTGATATTTGGAAGGAAAAGGGTGTTCACTGATCATTTTGAGGCTCCTGGGTTTACTTGTGTTAGGAGCTGTGTCCCTGTGAGTGGACCCTCTTTTGACCTGTACTTAATCTGTTTCTTGTTATCTTAATCAGGGATGTAGTCATTATGGTCAATTAATTGCCAACTTTTGCATGTTTTAATGTTTTTTTTTACTCCACATTTACAAAGTTATGTTTACCTTTCTGCGGAGCATTATACAAAGCATGTTTTAAATTGGACACGTTTTTCTACCCCCCAGGCAGCCTTGATCCCAATACATTGTACAGTGGTACTCTACCTAAACAAATCCATCTCCACTTTAACTGTATGACTCTGCAGTGGTTAGATCACTTACTTTAAACCATTTCCTGAAGGTGGATTTAAACCTGTACCACAAATATGTATTATATCTAGTTATAATCGTTAGTTATTGTTGCTTTTTTTTTTACAAATTTGATTGTGAGAAACAAAATAAAATCCAGCAGGAAAAACGCAGTGCGGAAAAGTGTTCTTTATTTTTTTGTATATATTTTTCATATTATTAAATGTTTATATTATTATAATTATAAATATTACTATTATTATAACTATTGCTATTATGTTCTGTTTATGTATTCACTGTATTTCATTTTTTACTTTTAGTTTTTTTAGTTTGTTTATGTATCTTTCAATGTAGAAACAAATGCTTTTGTTGAACCTTGATGTCAGAATTGTTTTCACTAATCATTACACTATATTACTGTTATATTAAATCTATATCTAACATAACTATTGTATTTCATGTTATGTCAAAAAGACAAAAAGCTTCGACTGAAACGTGTTTAAACCATTCGCGCGTGCTTCATTGTTTTTAATGAATAAACCTATAATCACTATTTACTATTAGCTGCCCAGTTTCAGGACAATCCCTTTGGTTTGAAATGCATCAGATTGGCAGTTTGCCCAGCCAAAGAGATATCATTGATCTCATTAATGACTTCAAATATCATAATGCATCTTTGAAATGTGCCTTATTAGACAGAAGTGGATCCCCGGATGGACCATCAGGTGGTGGCGGGGTGTATTAAGGGTGGAGCTGATCCTGGAGCTGTTCAGTGCTGAAACAACACGTTACATCACACTCCTCCTGTGGTGGTTTGACTTAACACAATTGAAGTTTAGATTAGTGCTTTCCCTTAATAATGCTTTTTTAAAGATTAAAACAGTACACATTTGAACGCTATCTGGTTTAACAGAGTCTCAGTCATGCTCTTCTTCTGATTCTCAAACCGTACACTCGGTTGGCACAGTTTTTCTTTTTGACCTTGATGTAAAACTTTTTCAAGAGAAGGAGGACATCTTTCTTTCCTTTTTTTCTCCACCTCTTACCTTCCGATCATAGTAGAGTGTTGCTGGACAGCCGCCTCCAACAGCCGCTCTAATATGGTCCACTCCGCCATGGTTGCTCATTCGGAGAAGATAACACTCAGGAGAAAATTGTGCAGAAATAAAAACCCGAGGATCGGATTATTCCTCTGGGAGATCTCGGAAAATATCCAGTGAAAGCTTGGATGTGTGTTCCTCTCCTCTCCGGTCTGTGATAAGCGCTCTGAGCCGCTGTGTTCTGCACGTAAGGCGGCTTCTGTGTGACTGCGCGCCGTGAGGAGCTCCGCGCGCGCTAATCCAGCTTTAAGTAGACTCCTTTGCGTCACACGAGCCCTGGCTGGTGGGAGCGCGTGGAAGCATATCCGTTTATCCACCGCTTCACGCGACCAGACGAGAGGAGTGTGCACACAAAGTGACAACAAGTTAGTTTAGCCTGTATTCGCACGACTGAGGTCAGAAAGAAAATGATCTGTGCACTCATGACACATACATACATGATTGATTTGATTTGATTAATTATAAGGACTGCAGAAGTAGTAGGCTATACATTGTTGAAGCTGTATTATTTGTAATGTTTCCCTTTTTAACAATTTTAAATGAATGACACACTTTAATAATACAAATGATTTAATTCCCATTTATCTCACCCTGAGAGAGATTACAATAAAACAGATTCTGTATTAATATTATTGTGTTGATGTTGTTTCTTTAGAGCTTAAAAGTCAACATAGGAGGTAAACAACACATGATTAACAGCTAGAGCCATTGCTAAAGTGACAGTGAGCCTATAACAACATACAGACCCTATCATAGGTTCTCTATTCATTATATCAGTGACTCCCCTCTTATTGGTCCCAGCATCAGTTGCCAACCTAAACAAATTTGTATTGTTGCTGCGTACATGTACCAAGGTACTTTTTAAAGTACCTTTGAGATAATTCTAATATATATACAATACAACTATATATTAAAACTTTAGACTTTAACATAAGTTGACATTCTCTCGTAGTCACACAACAGAGACGTGAAGAGCTGTCTGCCCATAGCTGATCAAAGTTAAAGGGACCCTATTATTCACATCTTCAGGTGTATATCAGTATGTAGTGTCTCTACTTTAAAGAGTCCTCTCCTGATGATGTTCAGGTTCATATCAGTATGTAGTGTCTCTACTTTAAAGAGTCCTCTCCTGATGATGTTCAGGTTCATATCAGTATGTAGTGTCTCTACTTTAAAGAGTCCTCTCCTGCTGATGTTCAGGTGTATATCAGTATGTAGTGTCTCTACTTTAAAGAGTCCTCTCCTGCTGATGTTCAGGTGTATATCAGTATGTAGTGTCTCTACTTTAAAGAGTCCTCTCCTGCTGATGTTCAGGTGTATATCAGTATGTAGTGTCTCTACTTTAAAGAGTCCTCTCCTGCTGATGTTCAGGTGTATATCAGTATGTAGTGTCTCTACTTTAAAGAGTCCTCTCCTGCTGATGTTCAGGTGTATATCAGTATGTAGTGTCTCTACTTTAAAGAGTCCTCTCCTGCTGATGTTCAGGTGTATATCAGTATGTAGTGTCTCTACTTTAAAGAGTCCTCTCCTGCTGATGTTCAGGTGTATATCAGTATGTAGTGTCTCTACTTTAAAGAGTCCTCTCCTGCTGATGTTCAGGTGAATATCAGTATGTAGTGTCTCTACTTTAAAGAGTCCTCTCCTGCTGATGTTCAGGTGTATATCAGTATGTAGTGTCTCTACTTTAAAGAGTCCTCTCCTGCTGATGTTCAGGTGAATATCAGTATGTAGTGTCTCTACTTTAAAGAGTCCTCTCCTGCTGATGTTCAGGTGTATATCAGTATGTAGTGTCTCTACTTTAAAGAGTCCTCTCCTGCTGATGTTCAGGTGTATATCAGTATGTAGTGTCTCTACTTTAAAGAGTCCTCTCCTGCTGATGTTCAGGTGTATATCAGTATGTAGTGTCTCTACTTTAAAGAGTCCTCTCCTGCTGATGTTCAGGTGTATATCAGTATGTAGTGTCTCTACTTTAAAGAGTCCTCTCCTGCTGATGTTCAGGTGTATATCAGTATGTAGTGTCTCTACTTTAAAGAGTCCTCTCCTGCTGATGTTCAGGTGTATATCAGTATGTAGTGTCTCTACTTTAAAGAGTCCTCTCCTGCTGATGTTCAGGTGTATATCAGTATGTAGTGTCTCTACTTTAAAGAGTCCTCTCCTGCTGATGTTCAGGTGTATATCAGTATGTAGTGTCTCTACTTTAAAGAGTCCTCTCCTGCTGATGTTCAGGTGTATATCAGTATGTAGTGTCTCTACTTTAAAGAGTCCTCTCCTGCTGATGTTCAGGTGTATATCAGTATGTAGTGTCTCTACTGTGACATGTCTCCATGCTTTAATGTTCAAAAAGCTCTTTATGTTTCTCATACTGCCTGTGCTGCAGCACCTCTTTTCACCCTCTGTCTAAAACCAGAGCCCAGTCTGCTCTGATTGGTTAGCTGGCCCGCTCTGTTGTGATGGGGCACACAAAACCTATACCTATAAACCTATATAGCTACACACTACAGGAGAGGGAAACCCCAAAGGAGCATAATAGGTTCTCTCAAAGACTGCCAGGTAAAGCAGATAGAAAGTCAGAGAGAGTGACGATATGATGTCACGCTAAGATTGTTTTGACTTGAAGATTTGAAAATGATTTATCAAAGTCAACTTTATTGTCAATCTCAAAATATCTTCTTTAGATAAAGAAGCTGACTGCAGACCCTGTGCAGGATACATATGATTGACATTTCTCCTACAGTACATATTTAGTTTGTCAGACATCAGTTCACTCTCCAGCTTCTAGTTCTCCAGTATTCTGCTCTTTTCCATTTCATCTGTTCATGACAGAGGTTGTGATGAAACTGTACAAAAGGTGTTTGAAAACAACAACCTCCTGTAAGAAACACTAAACACTAGAACTGAAATTTGCAGTGTGCCAAAACTATACTGAAGTTCAGCAAGCCCTAAGACAAACTGTAAGACAAGTAAGGCAGGTCTGAATGCAAAGCACGGTTAATTGAATTAAAGGCTGCTTGATGGTGTCCAGACTCAGTGAGCTGAACCAGAGGGAGTGGCAGCGTGGGGCTGGACATCATGCAGGCTCCATGTGTCCTCCCCCGTTTTGCCACTGTGAAGTGCACAAAGTGTAAAACAGAACAAACTTGTTTAAAAAAGGTGATTTCAGTCATAAATCATTAACAGGGATTCATTACCAGGTGATGTTGGGGACACAATGGAACTAAACCCTGGGTACATATTTTATTGTCACACACACACACAGACATTTTCTATTCATCATTTCAAAACAAATGTGATACCAAACACTGAGGATAGATATTAAGGTACACTTTTTGGCTTAATCGACCAGGTGTACACAACATTGATATATACTGACAATGTTCAAAATAGTAAACTGTTTGTTCCTGCAGAGTGTATTGCGATTTGAAAATTACAACAATATTCACCCTACATGCACATCTGCTTTACCCTACTCCGATACAAACACACACACACACACACACACACACACACACACACACACACACACACACACACCACACACACACACACACACACCACACACACACACACACACACACACACACACACACACACACACACACACACACACACACACACACACACACACACACACACACACACACACACACACACACACACACATATTTGCAGCTCGATCAAATATGAGTTTTGATTCACAAAGTGGACCTTTTCCCTGAGGAAATACTTCATCATCCCGCTTGGTTAGTTACGAAGAACAGTCTAAAGTCTCTTTTATGAGCTGTCAATCATCTCTATGAACATCTGTTATGCTCTCACATTCAAATATAGAACTACCATGTTACCCTACCCCAGTTACCTCTGCATGTTCTTAAGTTTGAGACTGGAAGCTACTATGTTCACTTTTTCATATAGTGCACAAGACAGCTCTCAATTTGTAAAAACAGTCCACTGAAAAACAATGCACAGATAATTCATCATGTTCAAGATATTCATTTGAGGGCGGGTTTTTCCAATCGATCACAGCTGCAGGATCTGGAGCAGGAAGTACTTCTTTGGCATTTCCTCCCCTGCTCCACATCTCCAGCCCCACCACAGGGTTTCATCCGATCAAAGAAAGAGGTGCCCAGGGCAGGAGAGGTGCCCCAGGATTAGGACCTGTGTCCACATGTACTTAAGCAATGTCACAGATTAAATTACCCAGTAATCATCCGCTGACCTATAAAATCTGCAGTTGTGATGGGTCGGCTGTATCCAGGTTTCCTCAGTCAGTCAGGGAACACTCCCTCCATGATGCAGGAATGTCAAGGGCAATCAGAGAATACATGATCAGTGATGATATTTGTGAGACAGCTAGACAGAGAAACAGACTCAAAAACGGACAGACAGAAGAGACGGTACAGACAGTAACACATTCATTTCCACCTTGTAAAAACTAAAAATCTCCTAATCTTTAAATCCCGGTTTACCTAAAGGCAGCTCAGCAAGGGTGTGATGGATTTGAGGTAAGTCTATCAGTTTCATGTTTATGATAATACTGCATTCTAGCCACTGACTGCCTTTAATAAATAATGATCAGAACAAATTCCCATATCTCTTTGGTGTCATAGTAGGGAGCTAAAATAATAACAGTAGCAGTAAGGTAGCATGTTCAAATGTTGTTTTAACAAGGAACATCATTCAAGTGTCAATAGGCAGCTGTTGTGTTAAATGGTTGCTTTACCTTTTGAATAAAATATGTTTTATTATTAGCAAAAGATCTGAGGGAGATATAACATGAAACAAAAACCCATTTATATTTCCTGTGCAGGTGCACAAAGCTCATCATCATCATCATCATCATCATCATCCATTATAAACACACAGGCTTTGGGAGTGACGAGTACATGTGATGAGTTTATATAATCAGGATATACTGGTATATGCTTTTGATGAATGCACTAAGCTCAAAAAGCATTGTAAACTATTACTGTTACTACATTTTTTATATGAAATATATTGGTCTCTTATTTCCTAAGGT